TATCCTACACAGCCTTCCAGCATCCACGTATTCCATTTGGATTTGAAACAGCGCCAAGAGAAAATCAAGTGACACAGGCCATACAGGGTTGGAGGGAGGGGAATGTGATCCCACTTGATTGTTGAGAGTTTATATAGCGAGTGATGACAAAGTGCTTTATGACTTTGCAGTGTTTGCTGGGCCCTGCGACGGAAGCCTTATACAGGCAAAGTTCCCTGGTGACCTTGGCTTGTCAAATGTTCTCATTTTCACCAAGAAGGAGCCAGCGTTCAGCGGCCGCTCAGTGGCGGTAAGCTGCTTTTAGCGGGACAGCTGAAGAAAACCTTTGGAGGTGATTCAGGCTGCTTTATTTTAATTGTCGAAACAGTCAAAAAGAAATGGATCAGAAGAACAAAAACACAATAAAACAAGGTCAGACGAAATTCCTTTAAAAAATCATATGGAATCCTTACATCGATTTAAAAGTTTAAACTATGCATTAAATTGACAAGTCTTGGGATAAATGAAAATGTTACTAAGGTGTACTCTGAGAAAAATATATTTTTTTTGCCAATTTAAGACCTTTGTTTCATGCATATTCTAACCTTACCCTTGTCACATTGCCTTCTGAGGCTATTTTCCTTTTAATGGTTAGTAACTGTGAAAACTGCTGACACTGTATATACAAGAAAAAGTCTTAAAATGACTGACCAGATGCTAGTAAAAGTGGAGAAAATGTATGGTAGAGTCCCATGGAAGGATATTACCAAGGAAGTTAGACAAACATTTTTTTGTATCCACAGGTCTACTAAGTACAGAGCCCGCGAGGGGACATGGGGGGATTATTTTCTTTTGCGTTCCCATGCAATACCTTTGCGTTACCTCGCAATTCTTTTGCGTTACCTCGCAATAACTTTGCATTCCCTCACAATACTTTTGTTACTTCACAATATTGTGGCGTTCCCATGCTAAAGTTTGATTTGTATATGAAATGAAATAAATCAGACTTTTATTTTGAAATAACCGGTTACCAAAACAGGATGTGTCGCCACAAGTTCGTACAATTGACATTGATGTTGCATGGCTGCACTGTGTTAAAATATCGACATATGACATACTTCCATGCGTGGCTGTGTGATATATTCATTCTGAAGCTGAATTAAAGTAGTAGGCTAACGCGCTAATGGTAAACGTGAGTTTGTTAATAAAGCGGCAGGCACAACAGTGATAAATGACGTTTGCGAGGGAACGCAAAAGGTATTGCGAGGTAATGCAATACTTTTGCGTGGGAATGTAAAAAGAAAAAAAATCCCCCATGTCCCCTCGCAGGCTCAGTAACTAAAACATAAAAAGTACACAGATTTGCTTTTTGATACTGTATGCATGCATTTTATCTCAAAGGGAAGAGGAAGCATGACCACCTCATTCCCAGTTCTCCTGTTCCTGCATTGTCCTTGATCTTTCCTATGCAAATTATTGGAACTCTCCCCTACACAGCCTGAAGTTTGGATAAGTGTGATGCTTCAGGAAGACCTCTGTTGCCATAATGTCAGGTATACCTATTCAAAATCAACACTCAAGGATTTGTTTTAAATGGGTAGAGGTGGTTTTGTAAGGTGCAGACAGAGTCATGGTTGCCTTCTGACTGCTTCTGCTGCTGCTATGAGCTAACAACTCTTGCATTGATCCAAGGAGACACTCAGCCCTCTAACCTGCTGAGTGCTCAGTTCCAGTGAACAATGGAGTTCAGAGCGTGTCGATACACTATCCTATTGAGTGCTCTCCGTTTAGCACCAAGATTGATGAGGTTAAGGCTCCCAACTGGGAGCCAAATGGTGTCAAAACCAAGGTGTTGCTTTGGACAAACAACCCTTCACTGCCTTACCACACTGAGAGCCGCTGGTCAGTGACTAACCCACCAGGAAACGTATTTAAATTCACACAAGGTTCCTGACAGGATATGCAAACAGTGGTGAATGTTGTTGGGACTCTTAAAAATGTAGATGAGACCAGATGATGCTTTGTAGACAGAAATGCTCTTCAAATCCCCCAAGACACTAAATGATGTACAAGTGGATTTATTACTGGAGGTCCCTATAAATCTAAGGTTGGCCTGAACTCCAGGGAGAGGTTAATGGATTACAAAGGGATGTGGTATCGAACCTAGGAGAAGTTTATACACCTCATCAATATGTGAAACACTATTGATCATTTAGACCTTGATAAATTAAATTCATACACTTGACAATGCATGGCAAAGCCCAGCATGAAAAAAATAAAGCATCGTTTAGCCCACCTATGACAAACTACACACTAAAATTTTTTTTTACACTTTGGACACTTACAAATCTTAAAGTTCACAGCAAACTCAGTGGATACTGTCTAAACCCTAAACTGCACAAAATGGCTGGCTCATAGTTCAAGTCAAGTTCAAACATTTTATGTGTTGTTTATCGATTACACTTTGACAAACTTATACATACATTCGCTACTGCCTGACAAATAATGGCAGATGTTTACAGTAGCCTCAAAACATTCAGTAGTCCAGTGTACATGTCAACCCCTTTGGGCGTTTACCTGTATCTTGTGTACGTGGACTGTCGGCTGTGGGGAAATACAGAACATGAGGTGGAGATAACAGTCCCTGCAGTGCACAGGAGCAAGGAAAGGGGGACAGGGAGAGGTGGGAAACTTATAGTGGCAGAACAGGTTGGGAGATTGTTGTTTATTTATTTTTTAGGACCTACAGGCTCTGAGACATGAAATAAAATTGAAGCTGAGAAAAAATCCGAGAGCTGGAAAAATTTGTGAGATTGCGTTATGTTCATATAGCTGCAAAATGGAAGAAAATCGGTGTGATTTACGGACAATCCATACAACTTGACATGTATGGTACAATAAGTTGTACTGGCTACAGTCTGCCTTGCATGCCATTACTTTGGCTAAGATAATTTTGAAAAATCAAAAGAAACATGATCGTTCAAAATTGTTGGTCTGGTTCTACATTTGATAAAAGAAAACTGTCTTTCTTTTCTTGTGTTCAGAAATAAAGGCTTGTGTATGAGGTGAAACAAGAAACAAGATGTCCAGTTTTGTGGTTGCCTTTAAGAGCAAACTTAAAACGTTCCTTTTTTATAACGCTTTAACAATTTCAGTGTGTTGTCTTTTTCTTAGTTATTGTTTTATTATGTTGATGTCTTTATTATCTTATTTTTCTGTATAATTTTTGCACCTTTGTAAAGCACTTTGTGATCTTCTATGTCTGTAAAAGGTGCTAAATTTTACTTACTTACAGTTGCCTCTTCATGAACTCAGGTTTGTCATGTCCTGGATGACTGAGAATCCACACCACCATGCTTTTGTCTAGAATAAATGCTTACTATATGCCGAACTCCTACTGAAAGGAACTTCCAACAAGGCCTGTCTGAGGTCTGGAAATTGATAAGCCAGTAGAACAAATCTTTGTTGAACAATAATTCTGTAAAACACACCAACCTCCAGTTTTTTTTTTTTGTGAACTATTGGCTTTATAGGCTAAAAATATAATTAAAAATCAGATTTCTCTTGTTTAGTCAACTGTTGCTAAATTGAGATGGCAATTGTGGAAGTCTGTGATGTGAAAGACATTTAAAAATATAAGTCAGTATACTAAAATGGTTAAAATTATATATATANATATATACACACACAGTATATATATCAATACCATATGGTAAACTGGATTTTTTTATGGCTGCCTGGCAGTTAAAAGATTATGGTAAACCAAGCCTGGAAAGCTACTTTATTTGTAGTACATTTACTTGCAAATACACCTGTTTATAATATATGAATCAGTACTGATGCTACTTTAGAAGCAACCTTAATATTTCATGTCACACAAGAAGAATTCGAACATATCAAAGCTGTTGCTACATGTTTCATGAATTTGACTGTTCTGGTTTTGGTGTGAGTATTACTATGTAATAAGGCAGCTGGTAAGCTATAATCTATAATTGATGCTTTGCATGTATGTCACAGAGGAGACAGTGAGCTTGTATCAAATTATTTCCACCAATTATCATTTCCCGTTGTCTCTGAAATTGTGGTACTAAAACCCAACTGTCCACCTTTTCCAGCTGTTTGCACTCAAACACTGTATGGATTGAGCATAATTAGTTGTAAAAATATTTCAAAAGCAAAATGTGTGAAATATGGTTGCATAAATTGCAAACAAATATGACAGTACTTTAGTCAATAAATCACTGTAAATATTGTACAGAGGGAGTTCAAATCTATAATTGCATTCTCTTTAACACCACTACAAATTATACAATGAAGCCTTGATTTTAAAGCGGGGTTTGTGCTACAGCAACCAAAAAATGAGGATTTATGATCAACCTACAGAATTAACAAATTTCCCATATTTGATCTACGTTACATGCAATTCACTTAGTCATTACAGGAGAGAAAGCTGAAAAAAGTGCTGGAAATCCCTGCTCTGTCAAGCTTTCTGACTGAATCATGGTTTTACACCAAGTAAACATAAATAATATTTTCATCTGGTTCTGCAGTTCCTCATACAATAAAACCCTGTAGAAGAGCAGGACCCCTGAAAGCAACTGTTGCATTAGCAGGTTTTTAGATTTTGGATCAAGTGATACAAGTCTTTCCTCAAATTCTTATTTAGATTTGATTTATTTTGTATATTTTTTTTTAACTTTTTTTATGCAGGCAGAAGACAATCCTTCAACCACATTGATACTAGAACTGAACAGAAATTTAAAGAAGGTTCTGAAACCACTCCAGGGAAAAGTTAAGTGAATTTTATTTCAAGATCATTACTAGTTTCACAACATTAACATAAAGATCCCATCATAACTAGGACTATCCTTGATATTAACATACAGTAAAATTACTCTGTTGTGTTTAGCTGGTTTAAAATAAAACAAATCTTTTTGAGATAAACAAGATTTATTATATTTATGGCTGAATTTCTGATATTGTTACAGAAAATAAAACACAAATCTACAGTAGTTTTGAGGCTTTTTGAACTTTTTTTACACAAATATTCACAAAAAATAATTTCAAAACATTAAAAATGAATTATACAGTATATTTCAAAGTTGCTCATTATTCTGTACTTAATCTCAACAAGCGTAGGAAAACCTAATGTGTAGATCAAGACCTGTAACTCAGAAATGCAATGTGCTCCTCCACCTTTTTCTGCGATCCTGAGTAGGGCCATGTAATGGAGATGGAAATCGCTCAAGAGCCGATATTCCTTCTTCTCAGTCATGGACTTTTCTTGTTAGCTTGAGACACAGTGAGTAATTCAATAAGTCAAGTATTCATTTATTACTTTCCTTTTCAATCATGGGGCAATTTTTTTTTACTTCCCCATCCACCTCCACACCGAGAAGAAAAAAAAGTAATACAAGTTCTGCAACTTCCATCTGTGGCAGCGCTTGTGTCTTACTGCAGCTTAATTACAAAATATTGTTGCCGTTTTCTGTAAAGATTACTCACTGTAGGAGGCCCTACGTAATTTGGACCGGAGGGTTTGTCACAGAAAATAATACGATGCAACTGGGCTTTCTGTATTAGATTTCCGCTTTTAGCCTCCTTGACATTTCAAGCTGCATGAACTAATACATCTGTTATTTGTTGATCATTTGATTATTAACATACTTCACAAACCAAATCAGCTGCCCTGCTGGAGACACATATATAGCTCAGCAGACTGTCTGGGTTTTCTCGCCTGCCACGCACAAATGCACTCGCAAAGATGCAGAATTCAGCCCTCAGTGAAAAAGGAAAGCAGAGAGGAAGAGGAGGGTGGGGGGGGACATTTATCTTCCCCTCCTCTGAGCATATGAGCACTCTGACACCGGCATGGAACAAAGCCCGTCATCACATTCTAATCTCAAATTTCAGGGCTTTTATTTCACCCAAATGCCACCCTGCTGGCCTTGTGAATTATTGACAGACTGACACCAATGCGAAAGGACACATAAAAGAGGCTAAAAGCTCCGGCCCTGGAAGAACTTGTCCTGTCCTATTGCCGTCAACAGCGAAGGCAAACTGCAAATGTTTCGACAGGGAGCTCACAGACCGAGGTAACATATGATTCCTGACCCATAGCTGCATCACACAGCGGAGCTATCCCACAAAGCACTAACTCTTTGTTCAGAGTGAGAACCTTAGTACAATTACAAGGACACCAAGGCAAAGCTGTGACTTATCTGATCAAATCATGAAAATTAAAAGCAGCTGGTTATACGTCGTTAGAGCCGCACACACGCTTTTAAAGTTCATGTGATTTGACTATCACTTGTCGTTTCTCTTTTCACAGCGATGGCTCTCTATGGGCCTAGGCTTAGTAGGCAGTTTTGTTTGTGTGATCAAAAGTGTGGCAAGCCATGTGTCACTAAACACTGATATTTGTCAGTCGTGGATCTTCCTTCATTCATATCTACTCCTCAGTTTGCTCAATGTGAGAAAAAAAAGGAAGTAGACGCTGACTGGGGAAATAGATTTAAAAAATAAACAGTTTGAGTAGAAAGGAGCAGAGAGAAACAAACAGAGAAGTGGCGTTCTGCAGAGTGGTTTTGTGCTTACTACTGACGTCTAATCAACCTCGCTCTCGTTGCTGGCACCCTCGGGTCGCCTCAGTTTGTCGACCTGTTCGTTAATCTGTCCATCTCCACCTCGTCGATCTTCCGTCTGCATGCTTAAAACCTCCTCTACATGGCTAACATCTTCCTCCTCCTCCTCCTTCTTTTCCTCCTCCCCCTGCACCTCCATGCGGACCTGGTCCAGTGGTAGTGATGTGCTCAGGCCCCCAGCATCAGTATCTCCATTCACAGCACAGGCCCGGTCTGGCCCCAGTGCATCCGGGGGGCTGTGGTGTCCATCGTTGATGGGAGAGGAGTTGGTGGACTCGTTGCTGACAGGGGAGATGTCACTGCTGCTGTTGGTGTGATTAACGGACGGTGACCCAGACACTGTGGGGGGCTTCAGCGGAATCTGCCACGACGGGATCTTAGGAATAGCAGGGGTGGAAGGGAATTGCTTCCTGCCAGGTGGCAAACAAAGTTTGATCAAAAACTGTGATCACAACATGTAAAACAAGCTTTTCATACACTGTTATCATCCATAACTGGGCATAACTTCCTTATTTAGGTGTTTACAAAACAGACTCACAACCACACATTTACGTTGCACATGCAGCCACAAACTAAACACCTTAGGTACTTCCTATAATTATAGCTGAGGATATCTTTATTACCCCAAACAGCCAGATGTTCATCACACCTGGTAAAGATGCTCTAACGTTTCTTTTGTTTTTAATTACACAGAATGGTCCTTTTTAAGATCAAAAAGACAGCGCTGAATGGTTTCTGCACTTCCTGGTGGTTAAAAAGAAAACAGTTTGGGGACAATTTGGATCAGTTGAACAGGAAGGCAACAAGTTTCGAGACAGATGGTGAGAGAGAGACTTTCCTTTTTGATTCAAACCACGGCCAGGAAACTCTCAGTAAGAGTTGAGCTGAAGTTAAGAAGGCAAATGACAAAAGGATTATTACTGATTAGAATGTATGAGGGGGAACAAAACATGCTCAACCAGGCAGTTCTGAGGCAATTTATGTCCTTGGTGTTTTTTGTTTTCCTGATGTACACTCTTTCTTCGGGCCTCATTATAGACATGGATACATAATCATGCATGCTAATCGGCCTGACTGAGCTGGTCTGGGCCTGATTAGATTGAGTAGGAAGGATGTTATCACAACAATAATTTTATATGCGCAACAAAATATTAACAATGAGGTTTTTCTAAAATATTTGTCAGTTAATGTACATAATTTCTTTTTAGAACATCAAAAAGAAAATATAAGTAGGTCCTCTGGATGGGTTCTTCTTTAGTGAAACGTTTCGTCTCTCCTCTAAGAGACTTCTTCAGTCTGATGGGTTTCGGTGAACTCAGCCTTATAAGCATTGCCTCCACATGTACAAACAGGTTGGTCACATGCAAAAGAGGGACAAAAACAAGGGGACATCGAGCCCCACTTGCATTCACTACATACACATAACACGACACGGGTTAGGTGATGGGGCACATGACCCTCTATGAACAATAGAGCTAATCAAGCCTATTGTTAGGTGATGGCCCTCTTTTGCAAGTGACTAACCTGTTTGTCCACCATGTGGAGGCAGTGCTTTTAAGGCTGAGTTCACCTGAAACTCATCAGACTGAAGAAGTCTCTTGGAGGAGAGACAAAACATTTCACTAAAGAAGAACCCATCCAGAGGACTTACTTAATTTTATTTTTTGGTTTTTTTTCTACCTGGATTACTGAGATGCATCAGGATGTCTTTTTAGTACAGTAATCCTTCACTGATACTTTACCACTTACTGTTTGTGGTTACCAATAAAACCATAGGACTTGGATGTCCTATGGTTGCAGAATGCCAATTGGCCCGGTTGTTCATAAGGTAAAACAAAAAAATGCACAGTTTGCAAAAGCTACGGGACACTGTGCTCTTTTCTTTTGTTTTCACAGTAAACCTTCAGCTGTACAGTGCTGCTAAAAAGTGTGAGCACAATGAGTGTTTTATTCTTTGACATTTTTCTCAGAAATTTTATCTCAGCCCTCATGGGACAATAAACACACTTAAGACTGAAGTGTCTTAAACATACACTGCATTCCTTTTATGCAAAGGGACTGAGTCTGAGTGTACAGTATGTACAATATTTGACTGAGGAGTTGGGTGTTTTTTGTGACATTTTGCTGTAACAAATCTTGAAAGGTCAGATTCAGTCCCATTTATGTCTCACATTCAGCACAGCTAAAGATTAACCCCAGTGTCATGATAGTGTACAAACAAGTGCAGTGGGAATAGGTCTTAATTTGGCATTTGATTAGCTGTTTAGAGGAATCAAATGGAAAGCTGTCTAATCTTTGGTAAATTTAGTTGCTTTTAGCACTTTTCCTCAGTAACTGAGCCACTAGATCAGAAACAGAACACCAAGGTTCATCTGGGAGATAAGAATCATTTATGAATCTAAATAAAACATTTTTGGTCACAGGTGGTGCAGTGTGACAGATCCTGACGAGAAAAGGAATGAATTTTAACCACCACCAGGCCCGATGGAGGAACCAGGAGGTGGCCAATGATGGCTTTGTCCACCATAGATTGATCTTCGACCACCCCACCTCAATCATTTGAGGATACTATTTTTTCCAGTTTTTTTTATATTGCTTAAAAGATTTCCTCAAATGATTGGGGTGGCTGGTTTACACACAAAAAGTAAGTCAATTTATGTTTGGTAGATTGTTTCTTTGGTGTTACAATGCTTCTTGGCAATAACTCTTACATTGTTAGAAATCTGTTAATTTCCATTTTAAATGGTGCCACATTTGTAAGGAACATGCATTTGTGGGATGACAGTAGAAAAAAAAATTCTACATGAAAAAAATTTCATAATTTCTCTCTGACATTGCCAAACAGATTATTTTGAAGTTGCTACTGATGCTTGTTTTGAGCTTCTGGTACCTGAAGGTGATGTCAATTAGGTGCCCGGTATAAGATTTATTGTCAAGAGCCATTGTTACAACAAAGAAATAATTTACTTAACACACATTTCCTTACTTTTTGTGCTATATAGTATATAGGTGGCTATCTTGGATTTTGACATGGAAATATAATTTTCAATAGAGACCATGGCAGCATGATGGATCAGTGGTTAGCACCAGCACCTCACAGCAAGAAGGTCCTGGGTTTGATCCCCAGTTTGGGCCTTGGGTCTTTCTGTGTGGAGTTTTCATGTTCTCCTTATGCTTGTGTGGGTTGTCTCCGGGTACTCCGGTTTCCCCCACAACACAAAAATATGTACAATAGGTTGTCTTCAGACCCAGTCCTTTATTGACAAAGAGATCTGCGATCTCAATGGGATTTGCCTGGTTAAATAAAGGTTAAATAAAATAAAAATCTTTATTATGTCTACAAGCAGCTACACACACCAAAACAGAGGTTGATACCTCACTTTTTATTCAAGTTATCCACCTCTCTACATGGACGGACAGGCGGAGGGTATTTCCAAATCCCCATTTCACTACGCAAGGCCATAACTGCTTAAAGAAGAACTAAACTGTTGATGTTTCAGAATGGCCAGGTCAAAGTCTTGGCAAAAATCCAACCGAAGTCTTGTGCAAAGAATTAAAGCAACTAGTTCATGATATACTCTACCATTGTCACACTTGCAAAGTCATTGTGTACTTTAGGCTAAATTCACACACACAAGAAATGTTTTACACTTTTGTCTCAAATATTAAACTGGATTTTGTTAATTTAATCTCAAAACTAGTGCAAAAAATCTGATGCTTTAAATTAGCTAAAATTAAAATAAAAATGGCAATTGTTTAAATACCATTTTATTTAGCAGACGTGTTTTTGTTCCTGTGTCACTGACAAACAGTTCAAACAGACTGCATTATTAAAATATCAAAAAATGCCTAAAAAACAACAGATCATACCATTCAACACACACACACACACACACACACACACACACACACACACACACACACACACACACACACACACACACACA